CTGCTCTCCGCCTCGCCCACCGGCCTGGACGCCCCTCGTCAACCCCCGACGCCCCGGCCCGGCCCGGCCCCGCGCGCAGGAGCCCGGGGAGGCAGCGAGGGAGCGCGTTTTCCGCCGGGACCGGCAACGGGACCGGCCGCGCTGGAGACGTGCCGCGCGGGCTCCGCCGCCCCGGAGACTGCTGCCCGGTTCGGATCTGGTTCGCGTGGCTCCGCTTTCAGATTTTGGCGAGGGAGCAGCAGAGACCCTCGGACGGAGCCGGGTTGGAGTTGGGCGTTTTCTCTGCGTGAGCTTTTGGTGGTTTCCCTCCCGGTCTCTTGACGTTCAGGCGTCGGGAGCCCTGGACCCAAACCACGAACTCGGGGCTGACAGCACCGCCGAACCCCTTGCGACCAGGTAATGCAGCTCGGGGGGCGCGGCTCGTCGCCGCGGTCGGAGGGAGGCGGCCTGGTCGGGGTCTTTTGTTGCGGCGGCCGGGCCCGCGGGCTGGGGCGGCCGGGCGGACTGACGGACTGACGGCCCTGGCCTGGCGCCCGAGCCCCTCCGCCTTCACTCCCGGCCCCCACCCCGCCCCGTCGCCCGCTTTGGACTTTCCTCGCTCTGCGGCCAGGGCTCGGCCGGGAGCGGCGGCGCGGGGGCAGAAGGGCCGGGGGCCGCGGCCGAGCCCCCCTCGGGGAGGGGCCCGGGCTCCCCTGACCCGGCCTGGCGCCCCCGGCGCTGCCCGTTAGGGGCCTGGATTCCCGAGCCAGGTAGTGCGCGGCCCGCGCCTGCACGCGGAGCCCGGGGAAGTGAAAAGGACCGCCGGGTTCACCCTCGGGTCGGCCGTGGGTGAAGGAACTCGCGCTTAAATTTCCGAGAGGTTTCCCTTCGCTCCTTCGAAAGTCGCTCTCCCTGCGGATGTGTGTGCGGGCTGCGGCCCGGGCCCGAGTCCGGAGGGGAGCCCGATCCTCCGGGTCCCCCCGCAGTGCACCGAAGGCTTTTATTCGTTTTCTCATTCTCCTTCCCTCTTCCGATCTGATTGACTCAACTTTTCCTTAAAACCAAGTACGGCTTCTAGTAATTTTTACTATGAAGAAAAAAATCCACCCCCCCCCCGTTCTCCCACATAACAAACCCCAAAGAGACCTCTATTTTTCTGTTTGGGGGGTTCAGCCTCTTTGTACCCTTAACCCCCGCCCCCTCAACCGAGCGAGGGAGAAAGGAACGAAATGGCGAGTGAAACCTTGAAGTCCGTGGCGTGGAAAGGTACCGGTAGTTGGAGGGAAGGAAGACTTCACTCGCCTGCTAGTCGTGGCGGCTCTAGGTGCTTAGTGGTTCTGATTTTAAAAAGAAAGAACGAAAGAAAGAGAAAAACAGGCCGGGAAAATGATCGTGGTAATGGAGGGAAATGGAGACATTTCTAAAAGTGAGGAAAATGAAAATGTGCCCACGAGTAAGACGCAAGAAGCAATGATGTGTAGGAATGCGTTTTGAGTGTTAAGTGGAAGGGAAGTTCTCTGAAGAAAGACGAAGGATATTCCCGTGCTTCTCTCTTAAGACTTTGGCTCAGAAGCTGTTTTTTTCTGACTTTGTAGAACACAGGTCGACCATGGTTCTAAATGCCAGCATGGGAGGAAGAGGGATCCAGAATCCTTTTGTGATTACCGAGAGTCCCGTTGCAATCATCATCTTTTGGATGGTTTTCCACGGAGGCTTTTTTGAGACACCTCTTTGCCCAGTTAGGAGAGGCATCATTTGGAGCTTCCTGACATGTATCAGGGATTAAAAGGCCTTTATTAGATTGCACACTCTCCTAAGCCTTTCTGAATAACATATCAGGCTTATTTCCTTAATAACTTACTGGTTGGTATCACAATAACCATGGCCTCAAGTTTGGTTCAGACCAGAGGATTACAGAGTGGTTTTCATAGTGCAGAGGAGCTCACAAAAGGTGCAGGTCTGAACCGAAGGAGGACCCAGGAGGGCCTGGACGGAAGCCCACAGGGCCTGCTCCCTGCATGCGTCCTTTTGGCTGGAACACCTAGTGCAAAGGAAGACCCACTCTTTGGGGGCCCAGTTAGCCTCATTTTAATATGTAACCCCAAATCTTTCAAGGGTTTTTTCAGTTTGTTAAAACAATTTAATAAATGGGGTTTTGTCTTAAAAAAAAAAAAAAAAAGAGGCTATCTTTCCTCCAGTGAGGATGGTTGGCTCCTTTGTCAAAGATGAGGTGGCTGGGCTGGCGATTTAGCTCAGTGGTTC